AATGATGGTGACAATGATTTAAATGATAGCAATAATAATGATGAAGATGATAGTTATGATGATGATAATGATGATGGTGATAATGATGATGATGATGCCATAGCGTCTTGATGGCAAAAGCAATAACATTTTGAAGTGGGCAATTACGGATGTAATGGCACTTAATGATGACGATGACGACGATGATGACGACGATGATAACGATGATGATAGTGATGTCATGAATAGTGTAATTAGAATAAATGATGATAATGATTATGAATTTATGAAAAATTTTCTTTATCTGCTCTCCGATTCATTCATACATTGTGATTTGTTGGATTACATAAAAATGATTTGATTTGAATTTAACTACTATTACAGGGATTAAATATGATGATAGTGTTGATAACTTACTTACACTCATTCAATCAAAGATGACGATGACGACGATGAAGATAAAGATGATGATAAAGATGATGATAGTGACTGTGTTGAAAGCGTCATTAAACTAAATATAGATAATGATGATGTTTATAATGACGACGACGATGATGACGATGTGAAGGTGATAATGAGATATCTTTGATACTACTGATAAAAATAATACAACGCTGGCGATGATGATGGTAAGATGATAGCTGAAATGACACAATCACGAAAATGATGACGAAGACAAGACGATGAATGTCATTATGGGATGAGTATGTACGTATGCATGCATGAATGATTGTATGCATGTATGTATCTATGTATGCATAATTGTATGCATGTGTGTGCACACGTGTAAATGTATGTGTGGATTTATGTTAGTATGCATGCATGCATGTATGTATGAATGTATGTATGTGTGTATGAATGCATGCATGCATATATGTATGTACGTATGTATATACCAATACATATGTGTGGTTATATGTGTGTATGTGTATGTGGGCATGGAATTAAATGAAATTTGCATTCCAATTTTCTACACGTCATATTTAGTCAAGAACATAAGAAACCTCATTTCATCATTTTTTTCCTGTTATTTTTATCATTTTTACTATCTTTCGTTCTTCATCTGATTTCGTTCTATTAGGCTTTTCTAGAGTTTTTTTTCGTTTACATCTTTGTTTTTTTGCTTTCATTTATTTATTTTCATTTTTTACCATCATAGTAGTAGTTGTTGTGACAGGAGTAGTAGTAGTAGCAGCAGCTGTAGCAGCTGTAGTACATGCAGTAGCAGCAGCAGTTGTTGAAATAAATTAAGTAGTAAAATTGGTAACCGTAAACTAATGATAATACCTTGCTAGTTGTAACAATCGTAAAACTGCAAGCATCTAATAACAATAGAGAAGAAACATGATTCTTTGATGGCAATGTAATGACATAGAGCATTGCTGACAATAAAAATACGAAAGAATAACAATTTGAATCTGACAAATCACATATTAACGGATAACCTCTGAAAATAAATTTGTTTTCATGACTGCAAGAACAATTTGTATGAAATTTTCAGGGAATATGGAATGATGTTGAAAATCTGAATATAAAACTGCAAAGGACCTATGTACGACGCGAATGATGATATAGGTGAATAGTTTTTATAAAAAATATCAGCAGAACGCTATGAGTTTGTTGTGATTTTTCTTCATGTGTTTTTGTCATCCTGCTTTAGTTTTTTTTTGGTTGAATTTTTTTTTGTTTATTACGTGGATTTAAAAAAAATTATTTTCATAGCCATATTTTTTCTAATTATATTTTATCCCTTTATTTAATGGAAACGCTCCTATGCGTAGATAGGTCCTTAATAAGATGGCATATTTTATGACCTCGCAAAATAACAGCCGAAATGTTGGAACATGAGAAAAATTAAGTTGGAAATGAATTTTAAATAATTTATGGGCCACGTTTTTTCGATTTTATGCTATTATTTTGTTTGTAATTCTAATCTTTTTTCAAAATGTTTGTTAAATTGTTCTATGTCCATCAGTTCATCTTCATGATGCAATTTATGATTTCATTTGCGATTAAACCGTTCAAAATGTAGTTTGTTTAAATGCATATTTTCATTCATAGATTCATGGAAATGATGTGCACTTGTGTGTAATGTATCTATGCATGTTGTGTGTGTTTTGCTTTAAATGTATGTGTTGGCCTCTGTGTGTGTGTGAGTAGGTGTGTGTGTGTGTGTGTGTGTGTGTGTGTGTGTGGAATGTTTGTGGACAGCGTGCGCGCCAACGTGTCAGCCACATTAAATAGAATAATGACAGCAGGTGCGTAAATAATTTAGCGTTTTTTACTGCGCACGTGATCTTCATATGTGTTGTGCTCTGAATGATGAAGGTATGTGACTTCTTTGTATGAGCAGATCTATGTGTTGGTATCTGTAACATTGTACTTGCCCTTTTGTTTGTGTCTATGTCTGCCATAGTTTTGATTTTGTTATCTTTGTTTCATTTTAATTTTATCTTAGTTTCTTTTGTGTCTCGTTTCAACTAAATTTTTCCTACAAGTTTTCATGTACAAATCAAACATGTCTGTTTGTGTATGTTTGCTATTATTTAAAATTAAGAACGCGTTTAACAGAGCCTGGACTTTCAAATGTTCCTGCATTTATATTTCTGCATACATTTGCGTTAAAAAAGTAAAAAGTTGTTTGCTTGACAAACGGCATCTCAGTAAAATGTTTGCTTAAGAAAATTAGCAACATGTGTTTTCATATAGGAATGCCTGTTTTTTCATGACGTTGTGAGTGTGTGTGGAAATTTCTGTGAGAGTAGGTTCGCAAGATGCCAACACAACTAGGGGATGGGGTGGAGTTTTAAAGTGAGTGAATAGTTTCAGGCCATCATAACAATGGCAGTTGGTGAGATCATGTAAAGGGAATATTTTTTAAAATTGGAAAGTTGTAAAAAAGTAAGTTAAAATAAAAAATTGGCGACTTTAAAATTTCTTAGCGTCTTGTTATTATGCGTTATAGTAATTACAATTTTTATAAAAAAAAATTACAGCCAGTTTTAATTGTATAAGTTTGTGAAGGTGAATGCGTTTTGGTGCGCACCCACATCAAAACTGTGGCATGGTGTGGCGTAGGTAGGGAGGTGAGCTTTTAAAATTTCGTGTTTTAAAAATATGAATCCCTTGCCTTATATGCTTGCCGTGGAGTGGGTGAGGCAGCTAATTAATAATGCACAATTACTTCTAAATTTAGGCACATGTGCACGTGTGTTTGTGTGCGTGTGTGTGTATGTGTGTGTATGTGTGTGTGTGTGTATGTGTGTGTGTGTCTTGTAATCGCATTCTTTCACATAAATCCTCTAATACGCGTGCCGGACATTTTTATAAAAATGATAAGGCTTGATACTATCATTACTGTTCATGTGTCTGTCTGCCTAACATATTCATTCGTCACGTTAATGCTGCTTGCTGGATCACAATTTTTTACACGTTGTATTGTTATACATATCTAATATGTATGTGCCAGATTTAGATTTAATGTTATTTTAGTATATATTATTTATAAAAAAAAAATTTATAAATTTGAATAAAAAAATGGAAAAAAAACGCATGCATGTATATGTATTTTTATAGGCACATGTATGTATGTATAGACAATAGGCGTGGGTTTTCCATTTCCAGATGCATATAAAAGCGGAAAGATAATTCCTTTCCGAGGTGGATGCAATTTAGAATGCTGATGCAAATGCATTTTTTCATGATTTTAAAAAAATATTTTCCAGTGAATATTGTTATGATTTTTCTTAAATAATTTTTGTCGGCTGTGTCTTTTGTGGTAAGTTTAGCGATTTTAAATTTTATAGTAAAAAAAATATTTTTTTATAATAAAAAAAATTTTAGTAATTTTTCAAAGATTGATTTTAAAAAAATTTTCAATTTTCTTTTTTACATTTGGTATATTTCTTTGTTTGTGATTTAAATGTTTATCATCACTGTTGAGGTTACAACTTGAGAAAAATTTATTGGTAAAAATCTATATGTAATTTGATTGCTATATTGGTTATTTTTCTCCACATTGGTTATTGTTACACTGCTTCTTATCAGATTATAAAATAATGAAAGTACACATATGGGTTGGTTTCATCTTTATTGTATGTTTTCAGATTTATAAGTGAACAAGCAATATGAAATAAAAGTTGACGTTGAATGTTATTAATATGTCATTTGAATTGAATCTCACTAATTAACACTTCTGCTTTTCGACTTCTGTCTTGTTCTCGTTCTTCTGGCTGTCAACTGGTTACTGATTATACGAAACATATCAAACTTCAAATATATCACAGTATTCCTTTCTTTACCTTCTGTGTAGTTTCAGCCATGCTCTTTTATTCTAACTATTTTGAGTTGTGCTGTCTATTAAATTATACAAAATGTATGGCAGACGTATATGTATAACCTAATTTAACTAAATATTTTAATATATTGAATGTGCGATGTGTATCATATAGAAATATATTCATTGATTAAATTAAATTTTCACGTTAATTTATCTGGTACTTAAAATTTTATAAATACTTTTAAAAATGAAGCTAAGGTGTGTTTTATATAATACGCAATTCAAAATTTTTAATGTCAAGTGAAATAATTTTTTGTAAGGAAATTTTTTATAAACGTTCAACAAGAGCATAAACCTCATTCAGGCAGTTAAAAAGTTAAAAATTCAAGTCAGGAGAAAATTTATCCAGAGAACATCAACATTCTTGCGGTTGCTGATGTAACAAAATTAAATTTTCATCACCGTCATCTTCGCCATCTCCGTTTTAGTCATCGTCATCATCAGCAACGTTATTATCATCATCACCTGTATCATCAACATTATTATCAACCGCACTGTTATCAAGGTTACTATCCTCATCATTTTATCTTTCCCAAACATCACGATTATTATCGTAAGAAATATAATCATCATTTCTCCATCAACATCAACATTACCATCATCATCGTAATCATTTCAATCATAACCATGACAACCAACAAACAACAAAGAACAATAACCAAAGAAAGATTCTTTCAACAAAAAAATACACAATAGAGTATATATTATTTGTAATGGTCGGGTTTTTGATTTGTCGTGCGCTACATAATTTTTTTCATCACGCTACATCCTTTTCCTGTCTCGCTGCATTCTGTGTTCAAGCATCATGAAAAAGAGGTGAATTTCACTGGATATGTCTGCTAGTCTGTTTTTCTGTTTGTGTGTGTGTGTGTGTTTGTGTGTCTATTATTTTGTTTGTCTGTATTTGTTTTTTGTTTCTGTAAATATATATGAGTGAGTATGTGTGTTTACATGTCAAAAAGTGTGTAAGTGTAGGTAGCTGTGTATGAATGGATGTTCACACATGTGTTTCTTTAAAATTTAAATGTTATTGTTTGTGTGGCTGAATATTTGTTTTAGTGTTTCTATGTGTGTATGCATTTATGTTACAAAAATTCAATTTGAACCATTGTAATAAATATTTATGTATGTATTTGATTTCTTTCATTATATTTTTAATGTTTTGAACATTCACCGATGTTAAGAATTACGTTACGGAGATTGTTCAAGAGTAAATGTTTTTATGAAAGTTCAAACTATCAAGCAACTGCAACTAAAGTTGAAACTTCTATTTGATATCATTAATGTTTTAAGAGTTAAACATTCCGATATTTATGTTAGCAATGAATGTAACAACTATATATTTTTTGAAAACACCGATAGGACCAGAAAAAAATTCCCACAAAATCAATAAGTAAACCAATAATAAAACGTACAATATCAATAAAAACACACAGGTTGAACTCCCAAATTTCATCATCCACACACAAAGGACAGAACAAATTTGGCGGGAAAACTAAATGACGCCATTCATATGTTCGGAACATACGTCATCGGTTGACATGGCAACTCATAAAAATATATTGTTGTACTATAAGAAGTTGTTGTTGTTGATGTTGTGGTTCTAGTAGTAGTACTATTTGTGCGTGTATAACAGCCATTCCCAAACTTAGAAGTGAGAGAAAATAAAAACAACATTCACACCAACTACATCAACAACGAAAACATCATCAACAACAACATCAACAAAAACATTAACAATAGCACTAAAAATAGCAGCAACAACAATAATAATAATAACAACAACAACAACAATGTCCAGAACGAGGAGGCTGTGGTTATTTTTTGCCTTCATATGCGTGACAACATTCTGTTGGATGGTCATGCTGTCCTCGCAAGATCACAACATTGTTGACAACATGTTGAGATACAGTGTGAACGTTGTTCTCGTCAACAAGCAACACAAATTTTTACACCAACGACACCTTCAACAACAAAAACACGAGCACGAACAACACAAAGAGATCATCAAATTAGAACAACAAAACAACAAAACAGCAAGTGCCTTAAATGTTGAAGTCGCACAGATTTTTGACAAATTTCACAGAATGCACGGGGAGGTAAACGTGAGTAAGATGATATTCTACAAAATAACAACAAAACCGTTAAACAACGACACGCACGGAAATGATTTTAACAAAACGTCAACAACATCTAAACCACAACAACAGTTTGTTCCAAAAATCGCGCACATAATTTGGTTTTATCCGAATGAGACGGAGTTTCGATTCCATCAAGCGATGAGCCTCCTGAGTCTGCAGAGATTTTTCAAGCCACGAAAAATTTTTTTCTGGCACGATACATTGCCGACTGGTCGCTGGTGGCTGTTCGCTCAACAAATCGTTGCACATTTCCTCCTAGTACCTTACAAAAGACCAACAAAAATATTCAACTACACAGTATCAGTTCCCGAACATCAGTCTGATGTGGCGAGAATACAACTTCTACGCGAGTACGGCGGCTTGTACATTGATCTGGATGTTGTTCTTCTGCGACCACTCGATCCTCTCCTCGAGTACGAAACGACCATGGGCGCTGAAACTCCCAGCCAACTTGGCAGTGGCTTCATTCTGGCCAAGGAAAATTCAGCGTTTCTCAAACTCTGGCTCGATAGTTACTCAAACAACTTTAACGATAACGATTGGAATTATCACTCGACCATCATGCCGATGAAGTTAGCCAAGCAACACCCACAGCTCGTTCACATCGAATGGTTTTCCATAAATAGACCGAACTGGTTCGAAAGAGATTTTCTCTACCGAAAGGGCAAACTGTGGGACTGGAGCGAGAACTACGCCGTGCACCTGTGGTACCGTGAATGTCCCGACGACTACAACCCGACGAACGTTCGCGAGATGAATACGACGGTGGCTGAAGTTTTCACATTCATCTACTTCAATGAAAGGCCGCAGTGGAAAGGTGGATGACGCCGTTTCTTCTGATGAATCACGAAGCTTCAAAAAAGTAAAATGAAATTAAAAAAATAAGAAATTTAAAAAATGAATAAATAGAAAAAATACGATGATTTGAATGCTTTGACAGTTGAAAATGTTTTGAATGTATGTACTTTGTGGAAAGTAATAATGCAGATGGCAAGCGAAATGTAGAGGAAGTGGTTGGCTCGCTGTTAATTACACTTTTTTAACTTTCAAATGTTGACTTTATGTTATTATCACTATTATGAACGTTCATTATATTCATTGCAATTATTATTTTATATTTGAAATAAATAATATTGTCCAAAACACTATGAACCAGGTTATTTCCTTTGATGTTGTTGCGATAGTTTGAAATGGTTTTTGTTGTTGTAGTTTGTATGGTTTGCACTTGTGTGAATTTAGTTGTTGTTGTGTAAATTTGGTTGTTGCTGTGTTGTTAGTTTGGTTGCCGCAGTTTCCATTGTCCAATCGAGCACCATAACTTGGTTCAAGTGGCCTACATCTTTTTTTGTAAACTATTTTCGTATTCCTGTCTTTCTCTATTGATTTGCGAACATGTTTTTGTCTGTTTGATTATTTTCGTGGTGTGTGTACGTTCATGTATGCTCGTTTACGTTTGTCTCAATTTTGTCTAGATATATGTTCATCTATAAATTAGAGGTTTACAATTTTGTACCTATCTGCGTTTTTGTAAGCATTTTGGAGATTGTGTGTATATTATTTCGTGAGTTGCCATATATTTTATGTGCGTGCATACATGTGTGTGTGTGTGTGTGAGTGTGAGTGAGTGAGTGTGTGAGTGAGTGAGTGAAGAGAAGGAGAGAGAAAGTGTGTTGAACGGTGAATGATGAATGTTGAAAGGAGTTGAACTTTTTTGCAAGGGTGACTTGATGTGCGTACACGAACAGGTCCTTACGTATGTGCCCACAAGCACGTTGTCCCTTTGTGTAAAAGTTTATTTACACTAATGAAAAGTACTCCGACCGTTTGATTGATCGTTCGATTGACTGATTGATTGGCTGGTCTATTTATTGATCGGCTGGTCGGCTGATTGATTGATTGGCTAGCCGGATGACTGATTGATTGATTGGTTTCATTGTCACACCAGCTACAAAAAAAAACTGTTTGAAAGAAAAAATACATAATGGAACGAACGAGCGAACAACTGAGTGATTGATTGATTGATGGATGGCGTGGATTAGTGAATGAATAAATGAAGAGCTGAATAGTAATCAGTTCTGTTAAGAGATAAGATACCACAATTTTTTGTAACACTAACAACTACAACCACAACGACAGCGAAAACAGTTCAGTTATAATAGTTAAATATAAAAACCATGTAACAATACAAACATGATAATCGATAAATGTTTATAGGTTGAAACAACATCGTCATCGTCAAATTCACAAGCCACAAACTAACAGCTTGTTTAATTTATTTAAAATAACATTTTTGTCTAACGTCAATTTTGCTGAATAATTCACATGGAACCCAATTGGACGCTTTTGCTCCTGAAAATAATTTACATCGGTTAAAATCATTTTTTTCATATCAAATTTTTTTCAAACTTTTGTTTCTTTGTTTCATTCTTTTAATATATATGAAGTAACCCTATTTTTTTAAGATTGTTTCGTTATTTTGAATGATTTTTTTCATAAAAAAAACTAAACACACTCACATAAACACACTGACACACACGAACGCACACACACACAAACACACACACCACACACGCATACCACAAAGAACACACACAAAGACAAGTTTATTATTTTCCTCTCACTACTATCGCCACTCGAGCTACTGCTATTATCGCCTACTACCATGACGCTAATATCGCTACTACTCTCACTGCAGTAAATACACTTTCACGCAAATTAGATTGTAAAAAAATTGAAATTAACTTCCTAAATGTAATTTTTCATAATAAAATAAGAATATCATATTTCCAGGAAAGCATGAAACATTAACGAAAGCATGAAACATTAATGAAATAAAAGGAGAACTAATCTCAAAATTAAAAACTTTGAAATTAGAAATAAAATAATTTTAATCAGACATACAGGGAGAAAAATTTGAGCAAACCAGCAAAGAAGCAATTAAAAAATTCAAACAATTCTAATCACTGTTTTCAAGAAAATGAAGATATCTAAAAACACTCTTTAAAAATGTTTAAACTTAAAAAATAAATTAACTGATTCATGCAAACAATATTTGAAAAATGTTTATACCAAAACCAATATCAGAATCAAATCGAAGAAAATATGAAATCAAACAAAATCAAAATTACGATTTATAGAGAGAACGACCAAAATCAACCAACAACAACAAAAACCACAACAACAACAACAATAGACAATGACAACAACAACAATAGACACCAACAACAACAGACAACATAAGCCAACCGACAACAACAAACCAAACAACAGCAGCCACTTGAAGAGATACACTTTGAAAATTTCCCAAACGACTCCGCGGTACAAAACACGGAATGGGAATTGCTTTCGTTTGATCTAAATTCCTTATTGTTGCGCGGTTTTCTGCTCTTATGTGCGTGTGTTTGTGTGTACGCGTGTGTGCGCCTGCATGTGTGTGTGTTTGTGTGTGTGTGTCTGTCAGTTTGCATGTATGTATGTATGTATGTATGTTTTTTTTTATAAACGCTTGATATAATTTACTTTTATCGGTTATTTAAAACTTCACGTATTTGAACAACAGACTCTATCGTCATAATCATTGCCATCATAAGCAACATTATCATCATCCTCATTGTCACCTTAATTGTATAAACTGATGATGATGATGAGAAGGAGAAGGAGGAGGATGATGAAGATGGCGAACAAAGCACCCATAATATTAATCAAACGACAGTGGGATAGGCTTAAGAGTGCTTGTTCCTCGTTTGGCATTGTTTGCTCGTTTGCTTGTGCAATTTTTTTTGTTGGTTCGTGCATTTATATGTATGTATGTTTGTACGTTTGTTTGAATTGTTGTTTGTTTGCATGCTTTCAACCGACCGACTAGCCATCCAACTAACCAATGACAACAAGCCGACAGATCAACCAACCAACCAACCAACTAGACTAGCCAACCAACCAGCCAACCAACCAGCCAACCAACCAACCAACCAACCAGCCAACCGACCAACCAATTAATAAACCAACCGACCGACCGACCGACCGACCGACCGATCAACCAACCAACCAACCAACCAACCAACCAACCAACCAACCAACCATCCAACCAACCAACCAGCCAACCAACCAACCAACCAACCAACCAACCAACCAACCAGCTAACCATCCGACCAACCGACCAACCAATTAATAAACCAACCAACCAACCAACCAACCAGCCAACCAACCAATTGACCGACCAACCAACCAACCAGCAAACCAACCAGCCATCCAACCAATTGACCGACCAACCAACCAACCAGCCAACTAACCAGCCAACAAACCAACCAACCAATCAATGCATACGTCATCGAGCAAACATTTGTTATCATCCAACCGACTGCGACATCTTAATGCCCATAAATGTGATTGATGGATGGACCGCAGACAGAATGAATAAATAAATTAAAGAATGAATTGATTGATAGATGGATAGGAGGATGGATGGATTGGTGACAAATAAATGAGTGATTGGATGTATGGAATAATGGATGACGGAGATTTTAAATGATGGAGCGAATGAAAAAGAATGAAGATGTTACAAATGAACATGTAATTGTATCCAACGCAAATTTGTATTTTAAATTTTTACTAAAAAATAGTATGAATTGAGTTATAATTTAAATAAATAAATTAAAATTTAATATTCAAATTGTCAAATTAATCAAAATTGACTAACAAGACATAAAAATTTATCCCAGAAGCAACAACCGGGTGATAATAATACCACTAGTTATAATATTAATAATGTAAATAATAATAACAAATAATAACAACAAAAACAAAGTCAAGAAAGGCAATTTGCTGATGAGTAAAAAATTAAACGAGTGTGTCAATACTGTAGTGAAGGTGGCTTGATGGATCATCCTTGCTTAGAATTACTCATGTGGACAGAGTGTAAATGATGATGATGGTGTCATCATCATTGTCCTCTTTTTCCTCTTCTTTCTCTTCCTCCTCCTCCTCCTCATCAATATCATCGCGATCATTTGTTATTTGTTATCATCATCATCTCATCATCTCATTCGCTATCATCATCATCAACAACATTATCCCAATAGCCACCATCACACTATTGAAATAATCACTACTACTATGTATGCAAAAAACAGTGCATTATATTAATTGAATAAATAGGATGGAAATGAATCAAAATGACCAAAACCTACCATCCTCATCATCATCATCATTTCTATCATCACCATCTTTGTCATTGTCGTAAGTATCAACTTTTTCCATCATTGTTATCACCATCATCTTTTTTATCATTCACCTGGCAAGGACTGAGTCTCCAATCTATTTTGGCTGGTCTCATTCAGTTCTTCCCAAAAAAATGTACTATTTATTAATCGTTCGAAAAAAATCTACTTTATCATCATCATCATTTATCATCATCATCATCGTTATAACAATATAATGCCAACATGATCTGTGATAAACCATTATGAAATATTATATTAAAAAATGCCAGTTTGAATGAAATGTATTGCATTTGTACATTGAAATGAAAACAAAACTAAAATAATACAAAACACGAATGATTCATTTTCATCCTATTCATCATTCAATGAATATAATGTATATTGTTTTTTTGCATACATACATGCACGAACGAAGTTTATCAAATAATACATTAATCAGCTTTTTTGGAAAAAAACACATCTCAAAGAGATAAAAAAAAATCAAAATGGAAAAACTCGATGAAGCAGTTGAACATTAGTAAATGTCTAAGCAAGGATTCATTTTAAAGGTGAAGGTTTATAAATAATGAAAAACAAAATCACCAGAGACAAATTTAACGAAATTAA